TTAGAACAGATTTGCATTTTCAAAATAAGCGATTATAGCAAAACTATGCAAATGACTTCCAAGTCTGCATATGCAGCTCTCATCCCTCTCTTGAGCTCCAGTTCTGCATCATTTAACTATCTTCATGATGTCTCTACCTAGATATCCTGTAGGCATCTCAAACTTAACTTGTCCAAAACAAGAAAGGGAAGTCCACCTCCCACAACTCATCTTTCGTCCTAACTTCCCTATTTCTGTCAAGGACAGCATCATTCTTTCAGGTTCCCAGGTTTACAAATTAGGAGTCATCTGTGACTTCTCTCACCACCCTCCTCCCATATCCAGTCAGTTTGCCAAGTCTTGTAAATTCCATCTCTTCAACATCTTTGTGTGCATCTATCCCCTTCTGTCTAATTACATCTAGCACCTTGCCATTTCTCACTTGGACTATTTCAATAGCCCCCTAATTGGTCTGCCTGCCTTAGGTCTGTGCCTTTTCTAATCCATCTTCCTATACTGTTGCCAGATTGATAATCCTTAAGCATAAGTTGGATCATATTTTCCTCTGCTTGAAAAACTTTAGTGGTTACCCATAGCCTTTTAGGATAAAATACAAATTCTGTTTGCTATTTTCAGTTTATCATCCTAGGCTGATTATATAATTTTTTTCTTCACGTGTACTCTGTGTTTGAGCCAGACAGTACTGTCTGTTGCTCTCCATACACCATGTTGTATCTCCTGCCTTTCTGCTTTTGTCCAGGCTACCCCTCATAAATAGAATGTTTTCTGTTCTTATCTGTGCCTCCTGGTACCCCCTACCTACGTTTAAGACTCAGTTAAAGTGCACCTCTTTCAGGAGGCCTCTCTCTAGTTCTTAGTACCCCTCTCCCTCAATAACTTTTAAAAAATTTAGTATATATCCTGTATTCATTTAACTGTGACTTCTTGTCCCCTTGTAGCATGTTAACTCCTCAAGGGCAGGAACTGTCTCACTTTAGTAGCACAGTGCATGGCACAAAGCATGTAGTTAATAAATGCTTGTTAATTGCTTGATTTTGCTGTTGTCATGGAGGATATCCACTACAGAGCTCAAATTGGAGAGGCTTTCTTTATGGATGGAAGTCTTCTAGATGCTCCTATTGGTTAGTTGATGACATTGTGCTGATTGCCTCAAACCCCCGAATGCAGAAAGATTCACAACCTCTTACAAGAGATAAGATAGCAATCCCCACAGAAAACAAAACAAAACAAAAAACAAATAGATGAAGAATGTCTTGTCCAGGCTTTGATAATCCAGCCTTTTGACCTGGTTCCATATATATGTATGTGTGTTTTTACACACACACACACACACACACACACACACACACACACAGTCTTGGACAAGTAACTTGGTTGTGGTGAAGTAATATTGTAACAAAGGCAGACTGAGACAGTTTTCTTCAGGGCAAGATAACAATATATTAACAGTGATGGGTAAACTGTTAGTAAAGTGGGTGGGTCACGCTGGCCATTTCAACCAAAAAGCCAGGGACCTATCCATGATCAATTTATTAGACTAGCAATAACTAATAAATTGGGTCAATAGCCTCTCTCTGATTGGCCTGTCAGTATATCATTTGGACCTCCCCTGACAAAGGTAAGATGATCCCAATTGGTAGGCATTTTAATAAGGAGGTGGGTTAAGAGTGGACTCAGCTCCTCCTTCTTTGCTTCCTCCTTGGGAAAGTAAACCTCAGGTGATAGGATTATCTGCAGGTGGGGAAAGTGGGTTGGCCTTCAGGTGTGGCTTATCATGACCCATTTGGAGTTTTCTTAGCAAAGATACTGGAGAGGTTTGCCATTTCCTTCTCCAGCTCATTTTATAGATGAGGAAACTGAGGCAAACAGGGTTATGTTTGCCCAGAGTCACATAGCTCTAGAAAGTATCGGAGGTCAGATTTGAACTCAGGAAGATGAGTCTTCTTGACTCCAGGCCCAGCACTCTATCCACTGTGTCACCTAGCTGCCCAATTGCTGTGGCAATTAAGGAATATTAATTGCTTGATGGGCATCAACTACTTCTAGTAAGTAATCTTGGCTAGAAAATCAGAACTATCTCAATCAGGATTCCCCCCATTCCCATTTGGTTTCTCCTTGGAGATGTGATTATCCCCAACTTTAACAAGAAAAGAGAACAGGAGAACCCCCACCCACCCAGGAACTCCGGCCTAGCTGTTTTTTTTTTTGTTCGTTTGTTTGTTTATCTGTAAATAAAAAGCAAAGGCCCCAAATTCCTCATTGGGTACTCCGGGGATAGTTCAGACTGAGAGAATGTCTTTTGAGCTATACTGCAAAATGGGGATATGACCAAGTGCAGAATAGAATGGATTACAAAGTAATGTTAGTTATTAAATAATATAGCATAATATTAATTTTCCTCAAGATGAACAGTGAACTAGATCCAGAATTGAATTAGAGTGGGCATTTTTTGTGTGTTATGTTCCCCTTTGACAGTCTGGTGGAATCAACAGACCTCTTCTCTGAATAATAGCATGGAACCCTGAGGGAGAGAGGCAGAGCAGCATATGCCAGGCAAAGCATACCACCATCTCTACTCAGATCCTTCTGGGGACAGTCCAAGGCCCTGAACCCAAGAGCCTTGGTAATAACAGTGTTTCTAGCCCAGTATACTCAGACATCATGGAAACTGATATGATGTTGTCAATCAAAGTAACATTAAAGAAGAGGCATTAATGTCTACTTTGCTGCACCCTAAAGACCATGGGACCTCTATATCTGACTTGCAGCAGAAACCTTTCATATGTTTTCTCCCCCCATTAGATTCTGAACTCCTTGAGAGTAGGAGCTGTCTCATTTTTCCGTTTGTATCCCCAGCATTTAGCACATTGCTTTGCGCATGCTTCATTCATGCGATATTTTTTTGTCTGCATTCGTAATAGAAGAAATGCTCAATTTCAGTTAGAAGTTAGTGAAAACCCAAGTTCACTGAACCTTTGAGATCTGGGTAGACTCCAAGTTAAGAACTCCTGGTCTAGAATGTTGAGTGTAACCACTGAGGAAGGTTTATGAGAGAACAAAGATAAAAGCACAGGATGAGAAGACCTAGGTAATTTGTGATCTGCATAGTTAGAGATAGTACCCACATCAGTGATAACACAGATGCACTGAAGATAAGTTGTTCAGTTGTTTCAGTCTTTTCCAACTCTTCCTGACCCCATTTGGGGTTTTCTTGGCAAGTATTCTGGAGTGGTTTGCCATTTCCTTGTCCAGCTCATTTTACAGATGAGGAACTGAAGCAAACAGGGTAAGTGACTTACCCAGTGCCATACAGCTAGTAAATTATGTGTCTGAAGTCACATTTGAACTCAAGTCTTCCTGACTCCAGGTCTGACACTCTATCTACTGCACACTAGCTGCCCCATTGAAAGTTAGAAGTGTGGATACTCCCTCCACTAATAAAATTCACATTTCTCCATACTTAGTACACAATTTGTTAATTGCTTTGGCTAAAATAATTAATTACCATGTGGAAAACTCTTCACATTTAGCTCATTTCTTTCTTTGGGCCTTTCCAATTTACTAAAGCCTATCAGATTTTCACTTCTACCATAGGATGAAGTATATCAGAATCACATTAGTGGTGGTCACTTGAACCTTTACTTATTTGAAATGTCTCTTCTCAGACCTACTTTTAAGTGGTGAATATTTATATTTTGAGTGCAGTGTTATCCTGACTTGAAAAAACAAGTTAATTGATAATATAAATATTAAAGACTAACCAGAAACATTTTAATTTGAGATTTAGTTATATACCTCAATTTTTTTTTCAAAGCTATGAGTATACATCAAATCAGCCAAAGGGATATAAAGAGGGAGGATAGATAGTATCCTTAACATTTTTATGTTTCCAAAAATTTTAGTTTATTGAAGTTGAAATTATTAAGAATGGTTTGAGTGCATAGTATGATTGTATTTTAAGCCCACATTCACTAATATGGGGTGCAGTGGACCATATGTCTAAAGAACAAGGAAATGAAACTCTATTATCAAAAACGTGAATTCCCAATTGCAGCACTTTTTAGAGAACCAAAAGTTTTTAGTTGTATTCTTTTCCATGACCACAGACTGTACTTTAACCAGTCAGATGACTTTGAACAGGTGGCATTTGCCCATTGATCATACCAGATTGCCCAAAAGTGTTCCACTAATTGGTACAAATCCTGAAAATAACAATCATTTTAATATGTCAACTTTGTATGTGAAGGATAGAATGGATAAAAGTGGAGCTAATTGTATTAGCAATAATCATTTAGATTTGGTGTGAATTTTTTAAAAAAGGCTTAAAATTACAAATGGAAATTCATACCCAAGTAGTTTTTTTCTGTAAGTAAAACTTTCTGTGATTATGACAGTATGCTTTTAAATAAAATATATTCATTCTCTCCTAGAAGAAGGCTTTTACTATGAGTGCTTTGTAATAGGTCTGACAAGACAGACATGAATTGAAATATGGGGAATTGGAGTACTCGCCAGTTGAAGCATGCTTGTAGAGTCTATGGATGTGGTTCATCTAGGCCAGGTGACTTGAACTCATCCAGGGTGATTAGATGTTCTCTTACTTTCTCCTACGTTATCTTGGGAATCAAATCCCAGGTTAGCCATTTTTGTGCTAGTCCACAAATCATTCTTCTTGGCAGAGAAAACAGACGCAAAAGTAAGTGCTAAGCAGCTCTGCCTTCTCTCTGAGATCAGTTACCATAATTTTGTCTCTTCTTTGATCCTTCTGTTTTCTCCATTTTATTTAAAAAAAAACCACACAAATTAATAACCCCTTTTTATCTTTAGCATTCCTCTCATCTCCTAAATGTTTTCTAAAGTCCCTTCCAATTAGAGTGTCTATTGTCCCTCTTCTCCTGGTACAAAAGTTCCTTTGATGACCAAATCTGGAACTCTACATTTAGAATTTCTTTCTAGCACTATTTTTCAATCACTTATAAATTACTTTCCCCTCCCACAAATTTTTACAGTCTGAGAAGCCCAGAAGTTGCTCAAAGGAAGGAGACATGCTAATGAGCCTGGATTACAATTAACTTTGGGTACTTGTAGACTAGCATTCAAATGCTTACTTGGGCTTCCTACCCCCCTCACTACCTTTCTGAAGTGAAAGCATCAGGGGAGAAAGTGGGTGAATTATGTGAGTATATATAATGCTTAGCATAATTTGGTTTATTTCCTAGGTGGCCAATGAAGATTATAATTTTGATTATCTTCATTCAGATATCCTAGCGTTTCCCCTGATTTTGCATGAGAAAGTTGGAATTGTAGGTAATAGATTGTAGTTTTTAAAATTTAAATTTAAAGAAGAAAACCACATTTGGAAATTCAGTGCGTCAGGCTATTAATAAAGACTTTAAAGTAGGCAGTAGCTGTCTAGTAAATACCTGGCTCTTTTTCTTTTTGTTGTAAAGCAAAAAACAAAAACAAAAACAAACAAACAAACAAAAAACAACCTGGTAAAATGAGTAGTTTGGATTATTTATTCTAAATAATGATGGATTCAGTGGGGACATTTTCCTTGGTTTCTCAAGTAGTGGGATTCCCCCCCTCCACTCCCCCTCTTCCACCCTAGGGATAAAAGGTCCATTCATATACATTGTTTTATATCTTTACTGTGATGATTGGATGAATTATTTAGAATTTGCTTTTAGAAAAGGAATATCAAGTAGTAGGATCTAGGAATCATTCTAAATATTAGTTTTTGTTATTTCTTATTTTTTATCTTTATATATTATAAGGGATTAAAAACTTGGTTTTATGTCTTTAATTAATAAAAAAAAATTTTGTATAGAATTTCTTTTTATTGCCTATTCATGTGATGGACTACAACAGCATTCAATAAGTAATCTTTTGATTATAAATGTGGGATATTTTCCATTACCTTATTCCTACTCTAAATTTATTATATTATATGGCTATTTTACATATAAATATATACATAAATACACATCCATGTATAAGTATATGTTGGGATGGGCATTGAAGTTAGTACTTTGAGTTGCACAAACAGGTTAAGAGTCTTAAGGATTACATTGATTTATAATTGTTTTCTTTGTTGCAGAGCCATAGGATTAAATGGGTCCGGTAACTGGAATGACTCCAGATAAGAGAGCTGAAACTCCCGGAGCAGAAAAGGTTGCAGGATTAAGCCAGATTTACAGAATGGGAAGCTTGCCTGAAGCAGTTGATGCGGCCAGGCCAAAAGCTACTTTAGTGGACAGTGAATCAGCAGATGATGAGCTCACAAATTTGAACTGGCTTCATGAAAGTACTAATCTTCTAACAAACTTCAGCCTTGGAAATGAGGGTCTTCCTATTGTTAGTCCAATATATGACATTGAAGGTGATAATGTGCCATCTTTTGTACCATCTTATCAGAACACAGAAAAAAAATCAGGGAATTCAAAACCCCCTTACTCCTTTAGTCTTCTCATTTACATGGCTATTGAACATTCTCCAAATAAATGTCTGCCGGTCAAAGAAATCTATAGTTGGATTCTGGAACGATTTCCATATTTTGCTACAGCACCAACAGGTTGGAAGAATTCTGTTCGACACAACCTTTCTTTAAATAAATGTTTTCAAAAAGTGGAGAGAAGCCATGGGAAGGTGAGATTTTTTGACTACTACTTTGGTTTTTTTTTGGAGGGGGGGGAATCTATCTAGCATTTTAAATGTAAAAGCAATCAAGAAGGTTAAATATATTCTTCAAATCAAATTATTTGCCACAAGCTCATTATTGGCTTTAATTTCAGAGTTTTTAACTCTATTTTCTTGCTTTAGTACTGGATGTATTTAATTATAGTAAAAGATCTTCATAAATTTGTCTGGTTTTATGTAGTCACTTTAATGTTTTTAATACTATATTTGCCTCAATAGCTTTCATTGTATCATTTTGTTCTTTGTGGAAAAGTTAAGGTGGAAGGGTAATATTTTGTTTTCTAGGTGAATGAGCCACAAGAAATGGAATAATTATTTGGCTTCTATAATTTTTTAAAAATTTAAATGCCTATGATGTACAAAGCACTGAGATACAAAGGTTAAATAAAGACATTGTACCAGCACTCAAGGAGACAATGCAGACATTGCTTTCTTCATTTTATATCATGAAAGGAGTCAGCTTTTCATTTAAATTTCAGCCCAGTAAGATCTAATTCTTAATTTGATTTCTTTTCATCATTACTGTCATTTATAGCCACCACAATCAAGGGACTTGGAATTTGCAAGTTTGTAAATTGGCCAGTGATTTGCTATCTGACTTTGTAAAATTTCTGTGCTTCATTCCAAATTATAAAATGGAGATAAAACTGTCTCCTTGATGCATGATGAAAAGACTGACTAAATGTGTTTTGTCAATTAAGAAAAGCTCTTAAATGTCGGACAGTAAAGTAAAATACTGTAGTGATAGTTATAGAATTCTTTTGTAGCAATAGTATTTGTCATATTCATTTACCCTCATCCGTCCATCGTCACTTAATTTGTTAGTGAATGCAGTGAGCTCCAGTTTTCTGGGAGGTTAAAAAAAAAAACCCAACCCAAAACTTTTTTGAAATTTTTCCAGAAATATTTTTTAAATCTTTATGTGCCTTATTTAAACATAAGAGAGTGAACATAATTTAATGTTATCTTATCTTGATGACTCAGGTTCATTGATATGAATAGCTATTATTGTAATATACATTAGTTTTTACTTTTTCTGTCAGTTTCTTGAGGGTTATTGAAGAATTTAACAAGCACTTATTAAGGCCTCCTAGGTATCAAAATCTGGGTTATGTTAGGGATACAAAAACAAAATAGTCCATATTAAATTAAAGAGCTTAAATTTATTTGAAAGATGAACAACATGTATGTAAATACAAATAATATCCAAGGGGAGGGCACAGATTTACTATGAAGAACAGAGAATTCCAGAGTTCACAGTGAAAAAGAGAAAATAGGGACACAAGCTCCCTCACCTACCATCTAGTTGCCTTTTCAAAAAAAAAAAATATTACTGTCATGACATGCTTTTTTGATGAAACTAGATTGGCTTTTAGTGGCCACTGCTTCAATTTCTGAGCCCTCAAAAAGCCCTAAATCTGGACATTGGAGAGCCCTGGTTTGGATCCCAACTATTCCCCTTAAGACCTGTGTGACCTTAGACAAGTCATCTGTCTAGCTGCTTTCTTCCTCAGGCTCACTGGTATATAATTTGTAGATTCCGTTCTCTTTTTTTGAAAATAGAGTCAACATTAGTCTTCCGTTGTGCAAAGATCCTGGATAGTAGCAATCTTGTCTACTAGTTTTTGCAGTTTTTTAGTATGAGGACAAAAATGGCTGATTATCTCAAACATTTATATTTTATCTTTCTCAATCCAGAGATCATTATTCTTGACTGAGAAAACAGAAACCACAAATGAGTCTGAGTAGTTCAGTCTTCTTCTTATCAACCCTAAGCAGTTCCCAAACCTTTGATTTTTCCCTTTCTTCCAACATACTTAAAAAACAAACCACCCACTTCCCACCTACCACCCACCCCTTTTTTATTCTCTTAGGAATTGTCATCAGCCTGAGTTCATTCTGGGCTTTTACCCTTCAGATGTTAATCTAATAATCTAATACTCCTTTGAGTCAAGAATGTATTGCTTCTGTTTTCTAAATATATCTTTTTAAAATCTGAGTTTTTTGATGAATTCTTTCTGTGTTTGTACTGATCTCTTTAGGCAACTCCCTTTTTGCTTTAGGACATAAAATTCAATTCAGTAAGTACTTATGACCCACCTACTATTGCTTGGTGCTGGGGATACAAAGACAAAAATGAAGCAATCCCTGCTGTCAGAGAGCTTACATTTTACTTTTCACTCTTGTCATGAACACAATGATGTGGGGTGTCATACAGTACATTACACCTAAGTTACTGGAAAGTGCTATGTTAAGCTCTGTCAAGGTGAGTGGGGTGATCATAGCTCCTTACTTTTGAGATTTGCACCGTAGCATGATACTATACCCACTTCAGTTTGGAAATTACATACTAAACTTACATACTAATGTTTCCTTGCTTCCATTTTTGTTTAATGGTACTCAAAAGGATACGTGTTCCATAACCAGTTGGTAAAGGTGAGACTCTGTAAGATAACAAAGACTTCCCTATTGACTTCTGAACAGTTTTTGTTGCATGAATAAGTTCTTCCTCCTTTGCACACCCTCCCCCCCCCCAAAAAAAGGTTGTGGTCAGGTATTTAAATAGAAGGATTCGTTCCCCATTCCCTCATCCTTTATGGATTATTAACTGTCAGAATCATTCTCAGACTTATTTAAGAATCCATATCATGTACATTTACTAAGCTCCCTAAGGACTTTACATGCTATTGAGATGTAAGTGGTAGATAAATTACCCATGTGTTATTATAGGTAAAGGGTAAGAGTTAGTCCCACTTTTTCAGACAAAATCCCAATTCTAAAGTATTTAGCCTACCTAATATCACTCTATTAATTTTTTTGGATTAAGTTATTCTTTTACTCTCATAAAAACAATCTTATGGTGTGCCACTGAGTAAAAGTGGTATCTACTTATGTAACATTTTAAAGCAAACAAAGACACTTTTGAATCAGTCAGCCAAGAGCTTTGAAGGATAAATTAGATTGGAAGGGAGCAGTATGAAAATTATACTTTAAGTGAATTTTAAGGTACAGTAGATTATTTTTTTGTGGCTGGAGATAATTCATACTAGAAAAGGCTACTTAAAGTGAATCTACTTCAGATGGGAACCAGTGTTCATAGTAAATAGTAAGGAAAGGGTGTGATTGAGACATTATCTTGATGAAACAAAGTTTAAAAAACAAGTTATTTTATCTTATTTAACAAAATAATCAAAACTACTTAATAATCAAAATCAAAAATTCTTAGAATGAACACAGAAGCATAGAATGAACAGATTGGAGGTTTAGAGCGTTTGTGGTTTTTTGTTTGTTTTGTTTTTTTTTTAAGGGAAAAAAAGTGTGATAAGAAATCGAGATAACCTTTATTTCACTTTTGACATAGTCGTAGAGTTGGTTGTTGTTGCAAAAATATTGTAGGACTTCATCAATCTTCTTAGGGACTACTATTAATCCTTTTATATTCAGATCATTCCTTTTTGAAGACCCACCAAAAATCAAGAGATTAACTGAGGCATGACAGTGAGCTAGAATGGGAATGTATTCTGTCCCTAAGGCAAGAGGGATGTTTAAATTGGGTCTAGTTTTATAAGTGATTCATTCATTAGTGAATGTTTTTCATGTTATGATTATTTTTGTTTCCCTTTGTAACCTCATAAGAAGATGGCTAAAGATTCAGCCTTGATATAAGAAAGACCTAGGTTCAAGTTCTGATACAGCCTGGCTGTGTGACTCTGAAGTATACCCCCTAACCTCTGGATGCCCCCAGACAACTCTTAATAACTTGTAGAACAGTTGCTGACCTTTATTTCTTGAGGGTGTTTCTTACGCCAGTGAAATCATGGGTCTGAACCAAAACAAATTGCAAACTTGTCACTTAAGGGTACTCTAATTGGGAAGACTCTCGTATTTAAAGTTTCGAATGTACTCTTTTAAAAAGAGAAATTTTAATAAAATCAAATGAATGCTTTAATAATAGTATTTGTGTAGAGCTTTAAAGTTTGCAAAGTGCTTTGCATATATTATCTCATTTGATCCTTAGAACAGTCCTGTGAGGTAGGTTCTGTAGATGAGGAAATTGAGTCAGAGAGAAGTTAAGTAGTTTCGCCAGTGTCACAACGTAGCTAGTGCTTGAGGAAGAATTTGACTTCAGTACATCTCTGTATCCACTACACTACCTCGTTGCATGTCAAATGGAGAGAAAGTTATTTTGTGTTGTTTAAAAGTTTTAAAAAAGGTCATATGCAAGATACTATATTGAAAGCTTTGAAAGTAAGACTGTTGTGTAATGTTTAATGCTGCTTCCTTGTTTCTCTTTTTATCCATTCTTGTGTTTCCAGGGAATAATGCAATCAGGAATGTCGTATTCCTTTTAGAAAGAATAATGCTATTATTTTAATATTTGCTAGGTAGATGAGGGTCAAGTTCTGGTAGTATGGATCAATAGTTTGCTTTAAAGTCAGGATAACCTGAGCTCAAGGTCTGCCTCTGACAGATAGTGACTGTATAATCCTCAGAAAGTCATTTAGCCTTTTAGCACTCTTTGTACTATTAGTTACAGAGAGAGTAGTAGTCCACATTGATAGACTAAATTCTTCACTGAGAGCTGCATAAACTGATGAAGTGTAACAACAGATTCTATCTGAAAGAAAAAGATTAGTAGGTTAGGTTGGCAGTGGATAGATTGTTTAATTGTGAGATTCTCAAGCAGACGTGGATATTTTTTAATCTTTATAAATTTTGTGGCAGTTGTTTTGCAACAGTTGTATCTCTTAAGTTTAACTCTTTTTCTTCAGTTCCTATGCAAAGGTCCAGGGATGTATGAGGTGTTAAGGGAGGACTAGCACCTCTGGTGTGAGGGCTTGCTGAGCCCTTTTCAGGGCTGCTCATCCACCTTTGGTGTCCATATGGCACTCAACTCCCACCTGTGGCTCCAAGAAGCTGTAGCATGAGCAGCAGCCACACCCTGGAAA